AAATTTGCCTTGTTGGTTGTAGATTTTATAATAATGGAAATTTAGTTATGGGATCACAAATACTAAATGATTATAATAATAGAACGTATTATGAAGTTTTTATTTTTCCATTTAAAAATTTAAAAAAACAACATTGGAAAGCTAGCAATTCAATTTCCTGTGGAATATCTGGAGAAATGAAAGCATATGATTTTAATGACAATGAAAAGGTTATGATTATTGACTCCTGTGGTTCATTAACACAGTGGGATTTAAATACATTATCATTTGAAAAACAATATCAATTAGAATGGAATAAAATTTGGGCACTCCATCCACTGGAAAAAGATTTTTATGCTTTTAATAAAAGTTTAACATTATTTGCGGTATGTTTACAAGTTTCTGATTGTCCAGAAGTAGATTTATTTATTTCTGTTTATTTGACCGAAAATGCAATGCATTTATCACAACGTAAGTATTTTAAAGACGTATATGAAAAACAAGAAATCTCTTTTACAGTATGGTGATACCTTTTAGAAACAATTAATGATACATTTTATTAGCGGTGTCATTTATACTGCCAGAGATCCGAAAAAAAGAAATTAATTTATATTAATTCATGAATTTAATACAATTAATCAATTATCAATTAACAGACAAATATAAAAGTGATAAAACTTTATTACGTTCAGAATTTATTTCATCTGATGAAGGAGAAAGATTACTTTTATTTTTTAATGATGATAATCTTGAAATAAGAGATCCTTACCATCTTCAGTATTGTTTTACTAGGACTGTTTCAGATATATGTAAAGAACTTTCAAAATCAAATAGAGAAGAAACTTGGATAATGTTTGAAGATTTGATAGATGAAAAAATTTATAACATATCAAATGGAAATTTATGGGTTCAAGAGCTTTCTAAACAACAATGGGTCACATACCTACGAGATCAATTAAAAGACACAAATAAAATAAGCGCTCTACCTAGTAAGCCTCAAATAGAAGACATTTTGCAAAAAATTCTAGATGAACATAATGATAAGGATGATGATGATTTTATTGTCAAGAAAATAAATCCACCATATCATGGGTCATTAGTAAAATGGGAAGTAATTAATAACGGAAGAGTAATACATGCTCAAAAATTTGATTCAACTACAAACGAATGGAAATCTTTAAAATGGGAAATTTATCCAAACCATTTAATAGACGAAAAACCTCCAAAAAAATTTGTTTATAGATGCAATTTATTGTATAATGAAGATTTAATAATTATTACATCTATTGGATTATTAATTTTGTCAGTTTGGCAGAAAGATGAAATTAGATTACGATATTACAAGGGGTATCCTTTTAAATATAGTTTTCTAATTAAAAAGGATCTTAAAAATCAAATGGTATCAGGCTATTCAAGCTTTTCAAGGAAGGAATCTGAATATAAAAAAAAACAATTTTTTGCAAAGAAATCATATATTCAAAAATTACTTGAGGAGATACATCATTATAAAGAATTTTCATTACCACCACCGGATTTTGATGCAATTACTCTATATCATGAAGATTTATGCATGGATAAAAGATACCCTTTTAGAGAATTAATAGATGATTATATTGATGACAAAATAACAATGATGCTATATGGACATGATCTCTTGAAAAGTTTTTTTAAGAATAAAGATCATCAAATGATGGAGAAATTGTATACAAAATGTATTGAAATAAACACAGAGAAAGATAACTTTTTAGCAAACTATAAGTTATTAGAAATTGTCACCTTTTCAATTAACGACCTGTCTGTAAAATCTCCTGACTTACTAAACCAATTTTTATCGCATACATCATTTACTCTATCAAGTATGGAAAAAGAAATTGCGATTGGAAGGTTTTCAAAATCACACCTTCAAAATCATAAAACATATTTACAACTTTCTAATAGTTATTTTACCACAAAATTTGTCACATATTTACAAAATATCAAAGAATTATTTATTGCATATTTAGAAGAAAAAAACTACATAAAAAGACCTGAAGAGAATCCAACATTAATTTTAATTTTTCCGCTACCAAAATTTAATTCTTATACTAGAAAATATAATCCTTGGAAAGAGTTACTTTTCCCCAATCCCAGTCCATTTTGTGATTATCAATATTCAGAACTTTATAAATGGTGGACTGGTCAAGCGCTTATTAATTTCAAGTGGAACACTTATGGAAAATATTACTTTATTGCAATTTTGCTTTTTTATTTAGCTTTTATGAGTTGTTTTTTGGTAGTTGCTACTATAGAAAAAGATCTATCCGATAGCACACAAGAATTGCTATTAAATGCAACAATAATACTTGGAACTTTACATCTAATTTTTGAATTGCGACAACTTATTTATTCACCATATTCATGGATGTGCAATCCTTGGAATTATTTTGGTATTAACGTTCAATTATTATTAATTTAATAATTTCATAGTATTAAATCTAATAAATGTTTTTAATTTAAGATGTATTAGCCATTTTATTTCCTGTAACAACATCTATTATATGGTTAGAATCTTCCAAAATTCCAGTCTGGAACGCTACAATATCTACATTATTCCTTGAAATTAAATTTATGGCATTTTTTCGAACTGTTGAACTTACTGGTGTTTATTTTGCAATGATTATCGGAGTTGCAGAAAGTGTTTTTTCTTTTTTAGTCATCCTGGGTTTTATTGTATTCGCTTTTGCACATTCTTTGCATATTTTATTACGACCAACTACCAGTGTTTCTTTAAGTCAGCCTAGTAATTCAGATGATCCGAATGATCCTTGGAATCTTGTTAACACTTACTATTCAGTTCTTGAAGATGGCACTCTCTCCAAAAATTTTACACTTACTGAACTTCCAGATACATCCACAAATATGTTCACTATGCTATATACGGCCCTTTTGGCTGTATATATAATGTTAACGGGTATTTTTTTTAAATAGTAATTTATTCATTTTTAATTAGCAATACTTGAGAACAATTTGATTAAATTTAGTCGATTATTTATATTATTTATAGGCGATGCAACATACTTATCTTATTGGACATTGACTGAAGATTTAACATTGGCACTTCTAATAATGTGTTTTTCTTTTTTTACAACCATTTATTTGATGAATCTATTTATTGGTTTATTAAGTAATGCAATTCCTGAAACAAATAGAAAGGAATTATTTTTACTTCAGAAAGCAAAGGTAATTATTGTCGCAGATCATAATGAAATCGGATTAAAATGAAATGAAGGGTTTCGATTGTTTCTATTTGACCCCCTAAAACCCACTTATACTTGTTTATTATAAAACCTGCTTCTAAACCCTAATCCTAAACCTA